ATATTTTTCAAAAAATAAGGACCCCAAAGGTGTCAATCCCTATACAATCTGATTGTATGATCTCCTTTAGATCTACCATCAAATATGCAGTGCAAGGGCCTGTCTGATTGACACCAACTAAATGTACTGTTCAGGAGTGTCCTAAAAAAACATAGTTTGGAGATTGTACAAAGGTTCTATTGTCTATGGTCACATTTAGTCCCATGTCACAGTATCAGTCCTATAGGATCACAGTTGGAAAGCTGCTGCAGATATGACTAATCACAGTATAATACATGACAATGGTTGTTGCACCTATGTCTGTATAAACAGCATGCTAACAATTGCTAAAGGGAGCACGTGTGTTCAGCTGCTGGTATGTATTACGTCCTTGGCGGATGGATGAGTGAGGCATCGCTTCCACGCTGATGCAAATGCTAGAGAATGTGCCAATAAGCGAGGGACACCTCACTTATCCGGCCAGTGGTGGAGCAGTACATGCAAGCAGGATGGAGTAGACAAGGATTATTACCTCCTCTGTCCCTGATAGAGATCTGCCTAATTTATTTATCCCATTGTCACCAAGAGAGAAAGTGGGAGGGAATCCAACATTTTACAGTTGTCACTAGAACAGTATAGAGAAGATATCTTTCAATGGGGACACCTTTACAGATGACAACTGCCAGAGGTGGGATGTCCCATCATTTTGCTCCCACTTGCTGTGGGTTCCCTGGGGGCAGGAAGTGTAGGGAAATTTCCCCGCTGATGGAGACAGAGATAGTGATAAAACCCCGAAGGGGCTGTAACCCTTCCCATTCCATCCAAAACAAGAAAAAAAAAGGCTGGAGAAGAAAATAAAGGAAAATATGAGAAACTATTCATGTAAGCATACCATTCTGAAATATAATAGTCCACACCACTGTGCCTTGGAATAGTCAATAAATACAATAGTATGTACACATCATCCTAAAAAGGAAAAGATATACATCCCAGTGTGCTAAAATATTGGTCCAGGTGACAAAATGGCGGCCTGGACTGGCCCATGTACTGTATATTCCGGGCGCTTGCCCTCACACATCCACTGCTAGCTCGGTATCGATGCCACTTTGCAAATTATTGTTTTGTTACACACTAACAGGAAAGTTTGGGAGGATCACGTTTGAAATATCAATTTCCTCATCAATTGTTAGTGTAAATTTCCTTAATATGGCCAAATATCAGCGAAACTGTATAATAAACAAGAGGTGAGCGCCTGTGACAGGCACAATAACTAATGATGGCCGATTTGCATGAGGCCTTGTAAGTCACGACGTGCCTGTGTTTAGTATTACATGGCTGATTCGTCAACATGATCACTCAGTGAACAGCAGAGGATGTATCATAGCGCCGAGCGCTCGGGGACACATTTTAATAACCACTGAAGAACCAAAATAGACCATCGGGGGAACATTATTGTAATGCTAGTAGTATATAGACATCTGCATTGTTTCCCCCAAAAAATATAGATAAACATTACACATTGAATAATGTTTTAAAATGTTTTTAAATATGAGATATATATATATATAGTATATATCTAAAGCTAGGCCTGTTTTAAAGTGAACCTGTCAGCAGGCTGCGATTATAGTACGTCATATTAAAATGCGTACTTCTATTTTTAGGATGGCGGTAGTTAGTTATAATTGCACGTCCCGCTGTCTCCGCACCCACTGCATTACACCGGCTTGTACTGCATTGATGCTGGTGACAGCAGACGGGTGATTGAAGGACATTTAACGCCTCGCTCCAGCCAGCACGGCGGACAGGGAAAAGGCTATTTATAGAGCGGGCTCGCAGCCACTAATAACGCCAAGACAGCCGATAAAGTAAAATTAATGTTTCATTTATCCCCGCAGATAGCCGGTTATATAACCTTTCATATTACTCTGTTCCCAAAATGGCAGAAAATGCAGCGGGCAATGATGAGCTTTCTATAACCAGACCAGCACCTGCCGGAGTGCCTGAGCAAAGATGGTGGCATCCTATTGGGGAGAAAAACAGATGATGGCATTGTCAGGGGGAGTCTTGAGGTCTCTGTGAGAGGTTGTGTCTTGCACACCTATGCATTAAAAATAAAAGAAACTATTAGCATGCTGAGAGCCCATAGAAACTGATGGGGCCCCCCTAACCCCTAAATAATGAACTCAAAGTTGTGAAGGGACTTGTATATGAAAGGTCCTTTTAGTGAACCATTATATTTATCTATCTATCTATCTATACATAGATAGATAGATATTCTTTTTTTTTTCATGTTAAATGCATGCTAATTAAAGTCAAGTATTTGTTATCTCTCACAAAGATCACGCTGCTCCCCCTGGCAATGCATTTATCTGCTTTTCTCTCTAGCAGGATGGCGCCATCTTTGTTCAGGCATCATCCAGGGTCACCATTCACTTTCTGACCTAAGATGAGAGCTCAGAGATGACAGTGATATAAATCCTGGTGACTATGCTGGTCTTGGCTGTGTTTTTTGTCTACGGGGCTCAAATAAAGCAGATTCTCTGTCTTGCCGGGCTGCTAGACTGGCCTCTTCTCTCTTGGGCTCTGGCGGTCTAAGAACTGCTGACGTCATCACGTCTTATGCTGGTCCATTGGCTTGAATTAGATGTAAGGATGCTGAAGGACATACCACAACCGGAGCGAAGGGTGAGAGAGGTGAGCGCTGAATGAGGATCAGGTGAGCAAATCTGCTTTATGTGAGCCCCCTAGGTAAAATGAGCACTGAACTATTGCAGCGCCAGGGTAGCCCCACTGTAAAGGTACGTTTTGTTTTGTATTGTTGTAAATAGAAATGCACCGATACCTAGTATCGGTATCAGTGCCGAAGCCGAGTATTTGGGCGAGTACTAGTACTCGCCCAAATGCTCCAATGCCTAGCCCGATACTTCCAGTATCAGGAAGCCGGGCAGCAAGTCATTTCACGCTACCTGGCTTCCTGATTGACCGGGAAGCCGGCTCCATGCTCCCCCTCGTCACTTGTGTGTGTGTCAAGCATGTAATGACTCGCTGCCCGGCTTCCTGATTGGCCGGGAAGCTGGGCAATCAGAATGCCGGGCGCCGTGCAATGACGTAGCGCCCTGCTTTCTGATTGGCCGAGAAGCCGGCTTCATGCTTCCTCGTCACCTCATGAGGCCAGGCACCACGTCATTACACGTCGCCCGGTTTCCTGATTGGCCAGAAAGCCGGCTCCATACTTTCTCGTCACCTAGCGAGTCTTTACACACGCCGCCTGGCTTCCCGGCTAATCAGGAACCCAGGTGGTAAGTCATTACACGCCGCCTTGCTTCCTTAATGGGACTTCCAGTATCGGTATTCAGTATCGGCGAGTACCAGAAAAAAAATATCTGTACTCGATACAGAAATACCGGTATCGGTGCATCCCTAGTTGTAAGCCTTTTCATGTGCACCTTGCTACAAAGGCTAGTTATAAATTGTGGGGTTGCCATGTATCTTTAAGTTTGTGATTTTCCCAAAGTTCTCCTTTAAATATCACGTAGCTTGTAGTAGAGATTCACATTTATATTTCCCCAGTGTGAATTATTATTTGCGCTTCGGTTTTTATAGTGATGACGTCCTTCTGCGGTTAGTACTCGGCGTTCGGGATCTCTCAAAGAAGAAGAAAACATTTTGATTTCTCAGCCAATAAAAGTTCGCCTTTGCAGGTGTCAAACGTAGAGACTTGTCAGAAGGAAAGCATAGAGAATGTAAATGTAGACGCCCCCAAGGCCTGCCTCATGAAAAGATTTGCCTGTTCTATGCCCGCTTCGAGCATTGCACATACGTAGAACGCTCTTACAAAAGCCTTGCTGCAAATCAGTGATGTAAAAACGTCCTATTTATAGAATCCCGCCGTGTTTTATTATTAACATTAATGATGCCCAGGAGGCAGCCGGTAATCACATTCATCTGTTATTTGTAGGCATTTATTAAACTAAATCCTATGGGCCTAGAGCGAGCATCGAGCACTTCTTCAATGAGGACATGTCTTTCACACTGCGTCTTTCTGTGCGGTTTCATTGCTAAGGACCCATTCAAACCACATCCAGATCATCTCCGGACCAGATCAGATTGTTTCCGGACCCAAAATGCATCCCTATGCTATTTCTGGCCTCTGTTCACACCAGTGCAGTCCGTTCCAGACCAGACCAGACCAGAAAAATACTGTATTCTCATTTTGTCTGGTCTGCTATGCACTGGAACACATGGAAATGCATCAAAAATGCATGCAAACGCACTGGAACGCACCGGAAAGCCCAGCTCTGGAGCCCAGCAAAATCACAATGCACTGTGTACCAGATCTGGGCCAGAAAATGGTGTGAACCTGCCCTTATATGGAGTGTAGGCTAATTTAGGGCCGGTTCACACCACAAAGAGTGCGTTCCAGAGTGTTCGGCCTCTGCACAAATAGTGTTTGCAGAATTTTGCAGATCGCACTGGACCAGAAATGCAGGCACTAATGTGCCACGCATTCGGGTGCAAGCGATCACACTGCAGGCGGGGGGGCGTGGTTGCGGTGCCATTGACTTCAATGCACCTCCACGCCCCCTCCTGCCCCTAAAAGCAGGGAGACGGCCGGGTTGCGTTCCAGTGCATTCCAGAGGCGGAACGCTCTGGAGCGCACTCTTTATGGTGTGAAATAGCCCTTAGAGTGGGCTATGGGCATTGTCTGCGTGCTGAGCCGCTTAAAGCACCATTATGAGGTAATAATAGTGACAGGCAATGCATTTAAGGGGCCAAACAACCCCACTTCATAAGGACTTAAGCACTAACCAAAAAATGAAATTGGACTTAAAATAAAGCTCCTTTTGGGATTCATTCTACACCCGGAGATTTGGTCAAAGGGTGGGTGCCTGTGTCTGCAGCATGGCATGAGGTACAATATTCAGGCGTTACTAGGCATTCGTGTGTACTGACATCCATTACTGCTGCTCTTCTCCACACTTTCTGATACTCTTGTGTATCTTTTCTTCCTTTCAACACAGGAACTCCAGCCCGGCAGGTCTCGTTCTCACAGCGGTGGTTGCCGTTTGCTACAAAATCGCCATCTTGTTTGAAGGGTAAGCCACTTTTAGACCTTTGCATGTCAGCTTTTCTCAGAGCAAAGAGAACCGGTCCCAAAGACAAAAGAAAACATTAAAAAAAGGTGGAAGTTTTAGGGTGGCTTTGCACATTTGCATTGAGAAGAATGTGCATTTTTAATGCACACTGTAAGATATAGGTATATGTCCATTGTGGTCCCCAAGGCACATAGAGAGAGGGATATGAACACATGCTATAGCAGACCAAAGTGCATGGATGTCAATTGCCAGCAATAGCATGGGTACAGATTTTTCATACGAGAGGTGATTAAAAATGAATGGCTGCCTTAATGTCACAGGTAGATTGCTGTCAAAGATGTAAAAGGGATCCTTATTGTGATCAAAGAATGGTCACCAGCGCCAATGAAACCCAAATCATATAGGCTCTCAAGCAAGGTGGCTTAGGTAGGTCACTCCTGGGTGGGACATCTTCCCAGTTCTTAGCCATGACTTGCAAGCCCTGCTTTGTCTCCACCTTCTATAGGTCAGGCGTTGTCATCTGTGGCTTCTCAGGATTTGATTTGATGACCAAGTTGATGCCATTTAGTGAATTGGCATGAACCTATAACAACAGGGCAGCAGAGTCATACCATGGGAGTCTAGTAACACCACAACTATCAGAGTTAACAAGATGGTGCACCTGGAGGCTAGAGGAGAAATGGGAGCATAGCTTTAGATCACTTTTGTTATAAGTTGAATAACATTTATAGTATGTGATTCTTCAGTCATTTAACATATCCAAATTGTAATAATTCAATAATGAGTCAGCCCATGCAAAAGTCATCTTTTAGTCATAGGTAGAGTTTGGCGGGGTGAATCAGCCCTTAGCTTTATATATGTCATGTATGCCTCGGATACTCCAACAGCAAGATCACCTTGTCAAACGTTCTGTACTCCTGGGGGTCTTGGTGTTTCCACCCTCTCATGTGTGTTCCAGCTGCTCCTGTTACATTTTCCATAATATAAAATGAACACAAATCCAGAAGGCATGGTGGGAGCCCCTCATAATAGACACAGCAGGTGTGCAGATCCAGGAACTCCGCACAGGGTTATTGGGAACTCTTCATAATGGGCACAACTGGTGTTAAGCCCTAGGAATCTAACGCAGAGGTGATGGGAACCTTCATAATGGCAAAGCAGGTGTGCAGACCTGGGAACTTAGGGCAGAGATGTAGGAGACTCTTATAATGGGCACAGCAGATGTGCAAACCTGGGAAATCAATGGAGGGATGGTGGGAATTCCCCATAATGGGCATAGCAGGTATACAGTCCCAGAAACTCAGCACAGGAGTGATGGGAGCCCCTCATAATGGGCACAGCAACCGGGGAGATCCAGGAACTCACCACAAGGATGGTAGGAACCCCTCAAAATGGGCACAGAAGGTGTACAGACCCAGAAACTCAGCACAGGGATGCTGAGAACCCCTCACAATGGATACAGCAGGTGGACAGACCCAGGAACTCACCATAAGGATGGTAGGAACCTCTCATAATCGGCCAAGTAGGTGTGAAGATCTAGGAACTCAGCTCAGGGATGAGGAAACCCCTCATAATGGGCACAACAGGTGCTCAGACCTGGGAATCTGGTGCAGAGGTGCTGGGGACCCCTCATAATGGCACTGCAGGTGTGCAGATCTGGGAACTTAGGGTAGAGATGGTGGGAGACTCTTTTAATGGGCACAGCAAGTGTGCAGACCTTAGAAATCAATGCAGGGATGGTAGGAACCCCTTATAATGGGCACAGCAGGTGTACAGACCCATGAACTCTGCACAGGAATGGTGGGAGGTCTTTATAATGGGCACAGCAAGTGTGCAGACCAAACATCTATGTTCATTAAAACAACCAATCCGTTCCCGAGTGTTATTTTTTTTTTATCTTGAGCATATCTTAAAATAAAGAGGAGATTCTGGTTGCTATGGGCTACACACGTCATTGATAAATAACACACAAGTTATGCTGGAAAATGCGTCAGAATATTTACAAACAACACTATATAGCCAATGAGTAAGCCATATGTTTGCAACTCGCTGTGCGTTACTGTGACCTGTATAAGCAGAAGTGGACCAGTCACCTCCTGCTGAGAGTTTATAATTGGAAGAAGAGCTAAAAAAAATGACGCAAATAGGTTGTAATGGCTATTCATTATTGGGGTGTAGGTGGATGTGTGAATGTCATTACTATTTCTGTGTATATGGAGAATGAAATAGTAGATATAGACTCCTGTACCAGAAATCAGACTGATTATAGCTCACTATAAAGAGGAGCTGTTTCTATAGAGAACGAGTGAGCAAGATGGGAGGAAGGGGGTGTTTAAGAAACCAAGTTAAAGAAAATTTCCAGGAATATAAAAAAAACTTACCCTTGTAATGGGTACAGGTACTAGGTCTGCCTGTTGTCTGTTCTCCTATTGTAAGGAAAGGAGGTAAATGTGTTCATAGAGGTTTCAAAATATAAAACAAAATGCCCAGCTTGTTGCTTAGACCTTAGTTATGCATTACAATAAGATACGGGTCCCTTGGGGCTTTTGCATCAAAGCATAAAGTTAATACTGACAACAACCAATCAGATTCTATCTTTCATTCCCCAATCTACACAGGAGGAAAATAAATTATTATTATTATTATCATTATTATACAGGATTTATATAGCACCAACAGTTTGTGCAGCGCTTTACAATAAAAGGAAGACATTACAATCACAATACAATTTAAGACAAGATGGTAAGGAGGGCCCTGCCCCTGAGGGCTTACAATCTAAAAGGGAGGGGGAAGTGATACATGAGGAGGTAGCTGTGTGGGGATGAATTGTTTGATGGTTGAGTGGTTCGTTTGAGGTGGGATAGGCTTCCCTGAAGAGATGAGTCTTTAGGGATTGCCTAAAGGCAGTCAGAGTGGGAGATAGTCGGAGAGGTTGGGATAAGGAGTTCCAGACGAGGGGAGAGACTCTAGAGAAGTCCTGGAGGTGAGCGTAGGAGCAGGAGGTCTTTGGAAGAGCGGAGGGGATGGCTAGGGTGATACTTTGAGACGAGGTTGGAGATATATCTGGGGGCAGAGTTGTGGATGACTTAGTAGGTGACTGTTAATGTTTTTAATGTTATCCTTTCTAAATAACATCTTATTGGCTGCTTGGATACTTTCCACTGTCTTTGAGATGCTGTATTTTAAAGAAGTGACAGGTCCTCTCCAGTTTAAAACCTCGGACCTGTGGATCCACGTGAACTTGGAGCCCTTGTCCAATGAGGGCGAGGTCGAGATATTCCGGCACACGTGCATCTTCTCCGAAGATTTCCGCGCCTGGTAATACAGGAAACAATCTGATGCACATTAGCAGAAAATTGAGGCAGAGATTGTCATCCAGGCGTAATAAGTGTCCCAGCCAAAGTCTGCACATCCAGCTCATTACTGTCCGCTATCAGCGCACACAAACACACCCGCTCTCTCCTGGCCAGGCTTATTTTAGCCGGGCCCCGTCAGGTTACAGCTAATTATGGATAATATCTCTTCCACCTGCGCTGGCTGAGGACCTCAAACTGTCCTCGCAAGTCCTCTGTTTTGTTGCTGGAACGCCAATGTCGTTCCGCCCTGGCTCGGCTGTTTACAAAAAAGCAGAGACTGGGGCCAGCCGGCCATTAACGACACAGCGGTCATTAAAATGCTTTTCTAACTACCTAATAACTGTCATAATATGCTAATTAACCCTTTACACCTTCACTTTCACAATGTTGATGCATCTGCATCTCTTTAGGAAAGAAGGTGACTCAATGGTTGGATCGTATCAACCAACTTCTTACTGTGGGGAGCCCTAAAATGTAAAAAAGAAAAACCTGTAAAAAAAATGATTATATCTACAGCTTATGGTTATAGTTAGAAAAAAAAGCAGACAGTGGAAATTGTAGGATCTCTTTCAAAAGGGTGGTCAGTGGACAAAATGCCTCTTATAGTGGTGGTCTTTGGAAAGAATGCCCCTCTTACCGTGGTGTTTAGTGGAACAGGTGCCCCTTACATTGGCGTCAGTTGGAGAAAGGCCTTCCTTACCATGATGGTTAGTGGGAAGAATGCCTCCCTAACAATGGTGGTCAGTAGGACAGGTGCCCTTATATTGGTGGTCATTCAGAGAAAGGCTTCCCTTACCATGGTGGTTAGTGGGAAGAAAGCCTCCATTGCAATGGTGGTCAGTGGGACAGGTGCCCTTACTTTGGTCAGTGGAAGAAAGGCCTCCCTTATCATGGTAGTTAGTGGGAAGAATGCCTCCCTTACAATGGTGATCAATGGGACAGGTGCCCCTTACATTAGTGTTCAATGGGACACATGCCCCTTACGCTGGTGGTCAGTAGGAGAAGGGCCTCCCTTACCATGATGGTTAGTGGGATGACTGCCTCCCTTTAAATAGTGGTTAGTGGGACAGTTGCCTCATTCATTGGTGGTCATTCGGAGAAAGGCCTCCCTCACCATGGTGGTTAGTGGAAAGAATGCCTCCTTAAGATTGGTGGTCAATGGAAAAGGTGCCCCTTACATTAGTGACCAAAGGGACAAGTGCCCCTTACATTGGTGGTCAGTGGCAGAAGGGCCTCTTTTACCATAATGGTTGGTGGGAAGAATGCCTCCCTGAAAATAGTGGTTGATGGGACATGTGTCTTACATTGGTGGTCAGTGGCAGAAGGGTCCCCTTACCATGCTGGTTAGAGGGAATAATGTTTTCCTTACATTGGTGGTCAGTCTGGCAGGTGCCCCTTACATTAGTGGTCAATGGGACAGGGGTCTCTTACATTGTGGTCAGTGGCAAATCGGCCCCCTTACCATGCTGGTTAGAGGGAAGAATGCCTAACTTACATTGGTTGTCTGTGGGACTGGTTCCCCTTACATTGGTGGTAAGTGGGACTGGTTCCCCTTACATTGGTGGTCAGTGGGATAAGGGCCCCCCTTACCATGATGGGAAGAATGTCTCCCTTACATTGGCGGTCAGAGGGAAGTATGCCCCTTACATTGGTACTTGGTGGGAAAAAGGCCTCTCCTACCATGACAATAAGCTGGAAGCATACCTCACTTTCATTGATGGTCAGTGGGACCGGTGCCCTTTATATTGGTGGTCATTAGGAGAAGAATGACTCCCTTACAGACTGCTAAAAAAACTGGTGGCGTGGTTACTTACCTGAAAGAGGAGAGACGAGGCTTCACTAGTCCCATGCCATTGACTTGGCCAAGTAACATTGGCGCAAGAGCTATGCCAACAATATCAGACAGAAGATCAATCTGCCACTGCCAAACAGGACAGGATCTTATCGTTTCCTAGAGGATCTCTTGCTGAAATGACCCAGCAATCCTTAGCTCAGTCATGACTTAGCAATTGTAAAGACATCACTGGCACGATTAGCTCTATAGTATTTTTCTTTTCAAAATAAAGGATATAGTATTTGAGTTATAGGTAGAAATCGAATTCATGTTTATAGTTTGCTAATGTGATTTCTGTTTTTGTTTTATTTGTGCAGTCCATTTACGGAGGAAATTTACAGGACGAAAGAGAAATCCAAGAAGTGAATTATCGGACTGAAATCGCCATCTCCGCAGACGAAGTCATTCCAGCACACGGCATTATTCCATTGTAATGTTCGTTATTTTAATACCTCTTGTTGTCTGAGTGAAGAGAGACGGATCAGAATACAATGAAAAGGGATAGTGGGTCTTTCCTCTGCTCCAGTCTTCAGACGTCAATCCCTCTGAGTTAGTGTGTATGTTATTTGTACATGGTCCGTCCAAGGGAACCTGCTCACAGGCAAATATGTTGGCTGCCATTGCTGACCTTCTTTCTAAAAATACTGATTTCCTGGCTCTCATTGTAATCCAATGGCTTTGGAACACTGACATAAAAAAAAGTAGGTAGCCATTAATTTGAGAACTGCACACTTGGGGGTTCAACTTGTAAGCGTCATCTAGGGGCGCTAGTGTTGGGCAACCGGCATCTGCAAAAGTTTTATAAATGAAGCCCTTGGTGTGGATCAGTGGCTCAGAAAGAATGGATGACAGAGGACCAGAATGAAAGCCAGGCAACTGGTACATTCAGGAGGTCATAAATGGCAGCCTTCAAATTTCACTCTGTACCGGTTTCCTTTAAAGAGACTCTCACACAAAATGTAATATATTGAAGCTTACCGCTCCTTGGATGTGATGGCTGCATTCGTTTTCTTCATTCAGACTTTTTTTTTCATTATTCTCACTTGGTAATCCTGCACATAACACACTTCCGTTCCAAGGGTGACAACGCTCACTCACTCCATTGTATCTAAGGAGGAGCAGTGTTGTCACTAGGCTGCTCTCCAACCCCTCCACTCCTCATCTCCAATACATAGGAAGGTGTTCTTTTGTAGTTCACAGGTGATAGCTGGGAAAACGAATAAGTTATATCAGTCTCAGTGCACAGGAACAGCAAAAGGTTTCCCAGCACACTCACCAGCCAGCATGCAAAAAAAAAAAAAAACCTGTCTAACCACTAAGGTTAAAAACAGAGGTTTTAGATAAACGCCTTCTGCAGAAAATGTGAAAGCTGCACCGCCTCGTCAAGGCACCTCTGTGTAGTGCGGTCCTAACTCTAACCTACGAGAGTCTCCATCTTGGAGCACATGCAGCAAGAGATATATTGGGTGCAGATTCGCCAGTGCACAGGAAGTTACAAGGACCCGGGAACACAGGGAAGATAAGCAGGTATTTTTCTCTACTTGGAGAAAATGTTCTTAGTCTGAAAAGAAAACTAATGCAGCCAGCACATTTTAGGAAATTAGTAAGCTGCAATGTATGTGGAAACTTGACAAAAGTCACTTTAAGTTCACAATTCACTAAGTCGTCTCATTGATTTTGTGTGATGTTGAGTCTATTTATCAAAAGTGTCTAAAAGGAACTCGTTAAACTTATTTAGATCCGATGTTTCTTTTCACCGCTGGTTCACAAATCAAAGAAAGATTCGGGACAACTGCAATGACACGTTTTCCTTTAAGATATTTTTGATATGCAGAGGCAAGTTATGGGAACACAAGTCTGTTTTTGGCCTGTCCTGGGGACTGATGAAAGAACATTTTGTCTTAATTTTACAAGCTTTATGAATTTGGAAATAACACAAAAATAAAGAAAAAGCAAAAACATCCCGTTCCGTGTCGTCTTCAGCGAGAGGCGCTTGAAAAGTAAATTTTATTCCGTCTCCTGATTGTCTAATTTCAGATTGAGACATTCCTGCCTAATTAGGCTAATGTTCCCCCTAAGAGCACATCGTGTCAGGTAATTATACGGCGCAGTCTTAGAGACGTGAAATTAAAGAAAAATGCCAGCAGCATTTAATTGCCCTGTGTGATTGCAGCCACGCTGAGCCGTGGCGCCAAACCCGCAAGCCTAAATCAATTCTCTGGCCTTCCCAGTTTTGGCTTTGAGTCGCTGACATGATGTTCTACTTACCTAATCTTCCAAAAAAAAAGTTTGAATAAGGCCACCACAGTGTCCAGTCTCTAGCCTGTCCCCAAGTAGCCCAATGCTCATCTTTCCCCTGCAGCTCTGTGCCTGTGTGTCTCCGGCCATGCAGAGTCCTCTGAAGGCATTAGACATGTGCGATTCGTTTCGTTCCGAATTGAAATTACGACATAATTTCGGAGATTCTGATGTTTCCGAATTACAGATATAACAAATGCAAACGAATCCGAATTTCCGATTCGTTTTTGTTTAACGAACTTTCGTTTTTTGGACGAAATTTCGTTGCAGCAAATGACATTTGAGAACAAAAAACCTTTTTCCCCCTCTTAAATGTCACTTTGCTGCAACGAACGAAACGAAATTTCGTACGGATTTCCACTAACGAACTTCGTCCGAATCTGAATTCCGAAAAACGAAATAAAGCAAAATCCGAATCAAAACGAAACGAAACAAAACACATTTTTTGCTGGTGCACATGTCTAGAAGGCATCTGTTGTCGAGGAATTTGGTGCGCACCAAACCATATGTCCCATCATCTCAGTCCCGTCATTGACTTTTTGGCCATGTGCCTGTTCTGCTCAGCTCACTACTGGACCAAAAGATATTAATCGCCTCCTAATTCAATGGGGAGGACGAAAGGTAATAGTAAATGGAACATATTCAAAATGGGCCTACAGTGTACCGTGATGTTCCCCATGGATTAGTGTTGGGTTTGAATCTTTCAGTCTTTTTGTAAAATATATGATCCTTGTGGTGATGGCAAAAAATTATGTTTAAGAACTTCAGGGGGCAGTGTTTATATATAAACTTTCCCTGTTAGATCATAAACAACCATTTTTATGTGTAGATACAGCCCTTGATCTGCAGAACTTTTCAAACAATGTCTGAGTGGCTCCCTGTCCTCCTCTGCAATCTCTGCAGGCAGCTCTGAGCCATACCAAAGTACATGAATTGTTGCATCCCTTGGTTCTCTATAGATGTGAATGCGTTTTTAGCTACTAGAAGGTGTTCTGAATATAGCAAGTTATGTGCAGGCTCAGCACCAAAAAGAAATAACAAAACATCCTAGTGATGCTAGAATTTACACACCTACCTACCTTCCTTCATTTGCCCAGAGGGAGCTTTTACTCATAGGATGACAACTACTGTATGTTAAATAGGGATGTCCAGATACCAGTTCAGATACCAGTGCCGATACTTGGCATTTTCACGAGAACTCCCAGGGTTGCAGCGGTTGCAGCTGGGACATGGCTATGGCGCTCCACCACCGTCCTGAAATCATTACTCTGTGTTGTTTTACAAAAACTTGTCACATGACACTAAACAATAATGTATCAGTACTTGTATCTGTGAGTACTTGGACAAGTATCAGTACTTGTACTTGAAAAAATGGTATCGGTGCATCCCTTTATTTATATTTATAAAAACAAAATCATACATTAAAACAGAGATGTACAAATCCCAGGAGCTCCGCATGCTCCTTACAAATGACAGCTGCCTCCTAATTTTTGAATTTGTTTCTAGTCCAGTCCTGGAGCTGGAAAAGTATCTGTACTTGTACTTGTACCGAGCACGGTACTTGGTATCGGTGCATCCCTAATGTTGAACATTACTTGCTCTGGTTGTTGGGTTTCTTACGGGAGCTTATTTATAACCTTAAAGGAAACTTCCATGGTTTATCTATTGAAAGAACATGAAGAGATAATGGTGTAGTGTTAATTACCCTTACCCCTGTGCTGTCCTTTCTAAAATACAGCTTTCCTAAAAATGGGGCCAAAGCGTGGCTGCTGGGCTGGACACTCAACTTCCAGTCCCGTGGGGTTTTTTTTAATGGAGCTAAAAGCTGCAATTACAACACCCTAGAGAGCCAATGTAAGCAGGTTTTTTTAACTTCAGTCATGCAAATTAAAGCTGGCCATACACTGCTTGAATTGTGGTGGAGTCCTGCTGATCTGGACCCAACCTGTGTGTGGCCCTGTTGGCCCAATCAACTTTTGTCGACGGAAGCGGGTGGAGAATTGTTGGAGCAGCAGTGGCTGGAGCCAATCAGCTATTCTGATAGCAAAGGGAACCGGCTGTCAGTATACAGTAGCCCAGCAGGGGAGATTCCCCCATCCAAACTGTTTAATGTGGTAATCCATTGGATTTCTGGCCTTCAGCCGGCAGATCAAATGAAAGAATTCTATAAGTGTATCACTAGCTTGAGACACTGTAAAACATGTAATTTAAGGACTCATGTTTAGGTCCTGACCATAATGAATGAGGATATTATGTATAAAACTACTACCCAGTCCCTTAAAATAAACCCAAAGCTGTGTTTTTATATTGTACTTGTACTTGGTTGTTGTTCCGTGACCAACCGAGATGCCTTGACCCGAAGTGTTTTGTGTATTATTGTTGTTTTATAGCCAGACTGTACTGGGATTAATGTCCTGTTATTCCAGTTTATATTACTACATCACGTTCCAAGTGCTCGGAGTGTGGGCAGTCTCTGCCAGGAACCTTTTAACATAAACAGTGGATGGGCGGACCATGTAAATCTGAAGCAAACACTGTATTGTGTCTCTAGCCGTAAATCTTTACAGCGGATCATGAAAATCTGAACCAAAACACTGTATTGTGTCTCCAGCCATAAATTCTTACAGCAGAATAAAAAATATCTATTTATAAACCATAAGGCAGAGCGGGCCCTCACTAAGCAAGGAGCTGAATTAAAAATTACGCTAGATGGCCACGGTATGTGGATACGCCTCCAAATTATTAAGTTGTTTCCAGTAGAGCGGCCTATTCATACTACAGCATGCAAAGACAGTTGTAGCCAATTGGGACTTCCAACCTTGTGGTAACAGTTTGGTGAAGGCCCTTTTTCTGTTTCAGCAAGACTGTCCTCTGTGTACAAAGCCAGCTCCATTAAGACATGGAATGATGAGTTGGGTGTGGAGGAACGCGAGTGGCCTGACCTCAACACCTTTGGGATGAATTGGAAGCCAGGTCTTCTCATCCATCATGAGTACCTGTCCTCACAAATGCTGCTTTGGCTGAATGGGCACAAATCCCCCAGACACACACCAATATCTTGTGAAAACCCTCCTAAGAAGAGTGGAGGCCACAGCTCCATTCATCATTAATTCC